CAGAACGAGAACCGGTCCACACCAGCTTGGTGTTCGTCCCAGACACCAGCCGGGCAACCGTCACCACCGACTGCCAAAACACACTGTTACCTCTGTGGGACTCAAGGGGACGTAACCAAATCTGGGATTTTTCTGCTTGTAGGCAGCAGAAAATATCTGTATTCCACCGTGAGTCACAGAAGCATGAAGCGGTCCGGTTCCCCGCGTGTCCCGGGCTCTGGGGCCGTCGGTGCGGAGGCAGTGCCGTTATGGGGATGTGCTTATGGCCCTCACCACCCTGCCCTGCTCCCCCTCCTCCTGCCTCTCTAACCCACCCCCCAAAAAGCATCGCTGCTTTATGGGGGTCACTGTCCCCCTGCCCACAGCTCCGTCACCCTCATCCCGAAACGACGGGCTCAGCAGCATGCCGGGAGAGCTGCAAGCACCACCCCGACCACGTTACAGCCTTTCCCCTTCGGACACCTCCTCGAGATGCTCAGCCACGAGCCGAAGTACGAAAGGACGCTGTTAAAAGCACATCTCTGACATCCAGCTGAAAACACGTGCCTCGCTCCCTCCTTGCCCCCTCTTACCCGCTCCGTGTTTTGGACAAACCGCGTTTCTACCGTTTATTTTTGCCCTCCCGCACAACAGTTTTTGCGCTATTTCCCACCGTACAGACGGCCTCGCTCAAGATTTTATCACCGCAACCTCCTCCTGTCTGGGCTGGACAGGACAAATACTGCTCCGCTCACCCCTTCCCAAAAGGCTGCTGGAGAAACCCTCTCCCCCCTCCCACCCCCGGCAATTCCCCGCCCGTATCCCATCGCCGCTCTGTCGCCTAACCGCAAACCTCGGCGGCGCCGAGCGCTCCGCCGTCGCCGGCGTCCCACTGCCATCCCCGCTCCAAAAACTTGGAGAAACTCTCGGCAGGGAGAGCGCTGCACAAGCACCCCCAAAACTGCTCCAAAACACGCGACGCCGTCTCAGGAAGACCCTTCCCCCCCCCACACCTCCATGACTACAAAATCCTGCGAGCGGGGACGGGGAGGATGCTGCGACTGTGGGTCTCCCGAGTGCCCTCCGGTTCCCGAGTGCCCTCCAGCTCCCGCCGTGGATTACCATTCTCTTTTAAAAGCCCCCATTAAACCAACGCACGACCTGCTTTCGCTCAGGGCTGGGACGGCACGGCGACAGCGCTGCTCCATTCACAATTCCCCGAGCTCTGCCTTCATACATTATTCCAGCTCTGTTAGGCTTTTGGGTTGGTTGCTTGCAGGTTTTGTTGGTTTGTTTTGGTTTTTTTTTTTTCTATTTAAATATTTTATTTAGTTTTACTCTCCCTTCCCCTCCCCAAAGCTCCCCAGGGAAAACACAGACTCCCCGGGGAAAAGGAGGTTCCCCAGGAAGGGCTGTCTCACTGCCACGGAGGCACATCCCCACCCCAAAGAGAAGCTGTCCAAAAAATAATCAGAAAGCACCGTCATGCCGCACAAGGCAGGGAGCGGGGCTGGTGCCCGCACGCGCTTGGCGACCTCCAACCACCGCGTCTGGCAGAGCACAGCCGGCAGGAGACAGCTCGCGCACCCCGAGGGGGTTAAATCCCCCCCACCCCCACCCCC